CACGAAGCTGTCAAAAAGCACCAGGAGACCATCGTTAGCGCCCTGAAGGTAATTTGCTTTACATCAGCGTTGTTCATGTTTCGCCTTGCCATCTTGTACCATTTACCCACTAAACACCTTTATTCATCTACTCTGTCGAATTGAGTTATTTGATCTAGTTAACCCTGTCAAGTATTAGCAAGTGGTGCATTCTACTGTGGTCGTTTCTTCTTTGAGTTCCATCTTTTTCGTGGATGTCATTCACGGTTCCACAACTTGTTGCTTCTCCACAGGCCTAGCTTATAATTTCAAGTAGCGAACCTATCTTCATATGTTTTCCTTATCGCTTCACCATTGCTGCCTGGAAACTTATTTTCGGAAAGCCTGACAGCGCTTCCTGCGCACATTTCCACGTGTTGTTGCATCAATATATTACCTTGGTGCTTGAGTCTGAATCTCGACAAGCTTAGATCGCAATGGCCCTACTGAATTCTCGCCGTATTCAGCAAGCTAAGCGAAGTGTACTTTCCACGCCACCAGCAAAGCGAATAAAATGCGAGCCCCGACAGAAAAGCGAAGCTATTCCTCGACTAAAACTATACTCATCGCAGAACTAAGTGATGAATTACTTTCTTTAGAATCACAACTTAATGAGATGAGAAAAAGGCTAGCACTCTTTGAACTCCTCTAAGATCACCTGATTACGCGGCACAGTAGCTGAGGTGTTTCCCACCTCTAGCTAACGTGTATGATGATGATGATGATGACCTGATTACGATTGACTACGTCAGTAACCCATTGGAGAAGACTAATCCTGTTATAACGGGAAAAGCAAGGTATTTATTCGCCTCTGTTGCCTCGGAAGTGCGCGAACGAATATCTAAATCAAAAATGTGATTGTTTTTAATCTTCCGGACAAGTTGTGTTTGGATAAAGTAAAACTAACGATACTGAAAGCTTGTAACATGTCTAACGTTAACTGTAACTGCCAACGTTTAAAGAAGAAAACACCGAAACGCTGTTGTCCAATTATTTTCCAATTTTTGAGCGAGGAAGTCGTGCAGCCATTCCTCCATTCTGGACCCTTCCTAGGCCAGTGCACCCAATTTAACGGCATTTTGTATAAATCAGATAGGACACTTACAAAGGTCCAAACTTGGCACTGTACCGCGAACACCGGACAAAATAACTAAGCTCTCCGAGAAATCTCAGCCAAACGTCCAAAAGATGAGTGCATTCAATGTGGATACTAAATGCATTGATTTAGACATCGACACTCTAGCTCCAAGGCCATCCTTCCTTGCTCCACTGAAACACCTTCTACAAAAGAACGGATAAAGCTGGTTCTCCTATTTCTGACAACAACACTCCCATTATATTGAACTCTTCATGCACAAAGATTAAAGTCTAAGTACTTGGAACAGTGGGGTAATGACAACTCGTTTGATATATCACAACCCGGCCCAAACCAACAAGACACGTCCAAGCATAACTAAGCTGTTGTAATTCATAGTCCACTGTCACCCAAAGACGACTTTACAATCCAGGGACCCGTGTCCTTAAAAATCGTATGGATACTAAATACTCGGTGGCACCCGAAATTCCCTATCGACCAACCTACAACTACCAGCGCAAACAACCTTCCCTGTTGAATAAGACCAATAACAACTGTCTCTTAGCTACGCCTACTTATCATCCTACACTCCACAACAATCACTGGAAGTGCACATATAGTGGGAGGACGTCGACCAATAGGACTATGTTACCATCCGCTCTTTTCCATGTTCCTTCAACCTCTCAAGCGGCTCCTTCCAACAACCTTTTAGCGGCGACGGGAATGGACTTGCACCCATTCCCATCTCAGATACATCCGGCGGAGATCAACATCTTTATGCCACTCTTCCTCCAGTGTGTCCAGATGACAAAGCTAGTCCATTGTCAAACCAACGGCAACCTAAGCATGTTGCCTCGGTTCCTCTCGTGCCCACAACTGTCTCGATATCCACACATGACATGCTACCCTTATCAACAAACCTTCTGATGACTAACTCGGGCCCACCATACTCGCACTTACCTACCATGTGCACCGTGCTCTAAGGCAAAGATTCAGACGATCACACAACGGACAGCTATCATTCCCCAATACTTAGTACATTTTCAGTGATTCTGTTTAATGCTAGATCCGTAATCAACAAACTTCATTTTATAAACACACTTTCTCAGTTCAATGACCCACAAGCAATCTTTGTTACTAAAACATGGCGTTCTTCAGATACACTTGACTCTACTCCAATGATTCCAGACTACCACGTTTTTCGGAAAGATCGCTGCGACAGAAAATGTGGAGGGTGTGTTATATACCTACGCAAAACATTTACAACTAAATCTATAGACCACTCACAATTTGAAAAATCCCGGAATCTATTTGGCTGTCAGTTGCGGGTGTCTCATCTTACTGCTCGCATGTATCTACAACCAACCGAATGCGTCTAACGTATCACCAGCATCACTTCTGCATTTGACTTCGCATCAGAGTTGCCACACAGCCAGAAGATTATTGCTGGCGATTTCAACCTACCGAAAATACGCTGTTCATCCCACCCAACGTCTACGTTGCACGCCTCTTTTATTTTTCCATCAGATCTGGGGACTGGACACAATGGATTACCAGTCCATCCAGGTCCGCCAATGTACTGAATTTAATATTCTCATTGGGGATACCCAATCCACCGACCGAGATCTTAAACAATCCTCCTGGCAGCGGCCATAACATGATCCCACTCAGCTTCCAAATTAAAATGGTCACTAAACTCGCCTCTACAATGCCGGTTGCAACCCGTAAGATAAACTGGGCATGCTTTCGGCAGTTCATTCGTTTCTCCGACTGGGATGTATTTTTCATCTCTACCAGTTTGTACACCGCTGTGGAGCAGTTCACGCTATAGCGCTCCTTGATCCACTATGTAATCATACCCCTCATGTCTCCAAAGATTCCGTCAGCAAGAAAACCAAAAAGTTAGCTGCAAGATACAGAAGGACCCATGACTTTTTACTTGTCTTACAAATGCATGAATTTACCACAAAAGCCAAACACACAATTAATAAATGTGGCAACATTTAGTAGCAGACTCCCCAACTACCTTAATTTAACTACCCTAAGCTCTATATTCATATGGGAAAAATCCCCCGATGAGCTATTACAAGAGGGGCCCAAAACATATAAACACCAATGTTTTCATAACTAGGCTCTGGCCTCAATCATCCGGCAGAATGTTAATGCATGAAACGCATATCCCGATGCTCCATCTATATATGTCACCCATGTAAGAGCATGGATTCTTCTGTACAAATTGATCTGTACCGCTATAGACACAGTTTCACTCATCAAGAGATATATACCCATTATTATTATTATTATTATTATTGAGCTGTTTTTTGAACGCTGGTCTCTGTATTAACTGGTACTTAATTATGAGCCATCCGCCACCATCCTGACTCTCAAAGATGTGGTGTAGGCCAGACGCAGTATGTAGTGATCTCGGCAGCATATAAACTTTCTTGCATTTGCTTTTGTAAACCTCTTAATTTGAACTCTATTCCTGCCCCCACTATCGTTCTTCTCCAAGCAATCAATCTGTTAGTCTCGCGTAAACAGGGGTCCTGGATTCAATTTTTATCAGGGCTTAGTAAAAGTATCTAGTGTAATGAGGTCCAGTTCTTAGTAATGAATTACTATTCAGTTTATTTCTTCTGACTGTTAGTCTTTCGGTTACACAGTTTTCCACTATTGGCTCGCATTTTTACCATCACTTTCGTTTTCTCCCACTTATCATGCTCGCACCAGTACAAGTAGCTGCTGTTCTATTCTCTGATTGATTCAAACAAACTGAGTAGTTTCACTAGTCAACTTTAGCCTCCTTGGTTGTGAATCCAGTCAATATGCTACTGTTCTCGTCGCTGCATCCACTTGCATTGTATTTTTTCTGCTGCATTATTTCTTAGCTACTTCCCTGGTTTCAACGCAGCATCTCTTCACCGTTCAGTTGCTTTAGCTGTCGCCCAACCTTGCGATAAACAAAGCGAGTAGACCCATAGTGACACAAATGCAACAGTGAGTACAACACGCCGCTTACTACGTCTCTGCTTGACTGTTGCGATGAGACTGGACCTTAACGTGATGCGATAGTTTGTGTGCCTCAGTGATCCATTGAGCTATACTGGGTGGTGCATTTTTGCACCTTCAGAGCCACTCATACCAGATTGGTCAATGGTTAGAGGCCAGACAAACTCAGCATCCATGTTGGGGGTTGGAATGAGGGTGGCTCCTTATTCCTCCTCCTCCTTGTAGCCCAATGCCAATCCCGCTGCCTTGCGGACAGGTTTTTGAACCAAAGGCTTTGGTTGAGAACCCTAATCGTTCTCCTGTCTAGGCCTGGGCAACCTGACAGTATCCTGCCCACGCAATACTATGAATCTCACTTCAAACCAATTTCTGATGCTTTGGCCACCGCAGAGGATAATCAACGGTGCCCAATCTGTTGCATTGAGCTGGGTGGATAGGGGTTTGGATGCTACTGCTCAAGCCTTTCCGTCTTCTTATTCCCCCTCTTATGCTTTTTCACCCTTATCGTCCTGTTCCAGCTTCACTTTTATCCCCCCTGTTTTCAACCCCCCAATTCTCGGCCCTCCACCACCTTGCTTCAATAGTCGCTTGTTTTTTAGTTTCAACTCACATGTGAACGCCGAGTGTCACTCCTCTCCTGTTGATAAGCGCATGCCCAACCAAGCGGTCCATTTCAATTCATCGGCTTCCATTTGGAGCCCTCGATCCCCCTTCATATTGGCATGCCTCAATGTTCGCACATTGCTTCAGATCGGTCAACAGGCAGCACTTGCCCGAACATTAGAGACCCTCTCGATCGATATCTGCTGCTTATCGGAGACCCGCCTGCAAGACTCGAGCTCTGTGCTCACTCTGCGATCTCCTTCAGGTGACGCAAGCAGTATTTTCTCATGGCG